CAGCCCCAGGTGTGCAGCAAGAGACACAGCAGCCCACGTCCGCCACACAGACTCGGGCGAAACTCGGGCCTGCCTGCTCACGGCCCACGTCCGCACGCAGGCTGGACGCGCCTGCTCGGCCCGTCCGCTTGCGCGAACTTCCGGATGCACCGCCTGCTCACGGCCCGTCCGCACGCGGAACTCGGGCGCACCTGCTCCCGCGGCCGCGTCGCGCGCAGACTGCCGGGCGGCTTCGAGGCGCGCCTGCTCCGCGGCCCACGTCCGCGCTGCGGGCTCGGGCCTTCCGGGCGCACCTGCTCACGGCCCACGTCCGCGTGGGCTCGGCGGGCCGACTCGGGCGCTGCCTGCTCGCAACTCGATCATGACGGCCAAAAGTGGGAAACAAGCAGGTAGGTCTAGAAGCTAAAGGGAGCAACAGCAGATGGTGCTCAGCCCTGGAGGAAGGACACCTGGACCCCGGCCCCACACCGGCGATCACATGTGGTGCCGAGCCGACAGGCCACGTGCAGAGGCCCGCAGGTCAGAGCGCTTCCACTGGCACAGAATGCCCAGGAGAGGCACAGCCGGCGACAGAAGCGCGGACCGCATCTGCCGCCCGGGAGGCTGCGGGCCGGGAGCCGAAGGATTACAGGGTACGGATGTTCTTTTAGGAGATGAAAATGTTCTAAAATTGACTGTGGCAGGTTGTGCAACTCTGCAAATATACTAAAAACCACTGAATTGTACATTTTAAAATGGGTGAATTGTATGGTGTTTGAATTACACCTCAATAAAGCTATTTTAAAGCAAAATTTTAAATACGTAAAAAAATCAGAAAGTGAGAAATCTGGAATTAACATTTCCAGAAACATCCTCCTTGATTTTTTTCCTCCAAAGATATAAATAGAATAAAATATATAAATGCTATATGAAGTTTAAAATATACAAAATATAAATACATTTTGTATTATATTTATAATAAATATGATATTTATAATATAAATGTAAGTATATTCATACTATAATAACGCATTGTATTATAATACAAATATATTTAAAAAACAGTAAACATTTATGTTATAAATAGAGAAGATATGAAATGGAAATACGGGTACATTTTTAAAAAGAAAAAGTGAGTTATATTCCTGTGACAGTCAAACTTCTCCTTCACATCAAGATGTGGCCACTTTTAAGAAGAGCTGATAAAACGCTGGGAGTCAGGCGGCACGTGTGTGCGTGTGTAGCCAGCAGGCGCCAGGTGCCACCGTCCCCATGCTGTGTGGTGGGGAGCCCAGCCGGGAGTGGTGAGCGCCCTGGGGCGGAGATCTGTGCATCGGCTGATTGTCGGGGATAAATTCCTCCAAGGACGTGCACCGTCCTTAGGCCTTGAACACAAAGCCACGGAACCCTCCAGAAGTCTGGACCAGCACATCCGCCCGGCATACGCCGTCTTATAAATATTTTTACAGTTTGCTAAACTGGTGGCAAAAACTTGCTTAAATTTGAAATGTTTGGCTCATTGGTGAGGTGGAATGTCCATCTTTTTATGAGCAGTTTAAAATCTCCTTTTCTCTTGAACTGCTCTAGGCCCTGTTTTCTATTAGCACTGCTGAATGTGTGGACAGATTATTTCACAACATTTAAGGAGGATATTTTCAACTAAAAAAGAAACACAAATTTGTCAACTTTGTCACCCAGTGGGTGAGGATGGACATGTGATCGGCCAACTCTGAAATGAGCTGCAGCAGCGGAGCGCAGCGTCCCAGGACCCTGCAGGAGCAGAGGCTGCGAGGCCAGCCACGTCCCACCTCGACCACGTTCATCTCACGGGCAAAGCGGCCCGATGCCCCACGTCCTCCAGCCGCCTGCACAGAACCACAGGCCCAGCAGGGAAGTGGCCGTGCCATCACTGGAGGTCGTCCTGTGTGCTGCGTCCTCGATATTCCGTGTCCTCACGTGGTCATCCTGTGTGTTGCATCCTCGATATTCCGTGTCCTCACGTGGTCGTCCTGTGTGCTGCGTCCCCGTCTCCCCTTCTCATAAGGACGCCGGCCACCCGGGGTCAGGGCCACGCACACGGCCTCGCTTTACCTTCACAATCTCTACAGCTCCACACCCAAGCGCAGCCACACCCTGGGGTCCTGAGGGTCACGGGTCACAGCTCCAGCACGGGGATTCATGGGGATTTGCCGGGACAGAGCTCAGCCTGTACTGAGTCGAACAGAAAATCTCCTGCAGCCTCCAAACCAGGGTGGGTGGGGAGGCAACGTTTTACCTCTCAGTGTTTTTTGGTTGGACCCAAGAATTAAAATCGGCAGATGAGCTGGAGGAAGGCACGCGCGCTCCAGCACGGTCTGTGTGGCTGGGAATGGCCTTTCCTTCCCGAAAGAGGAGGAACACCCCACGGGGAAGACGCTCTCCAGAGCCAGAAGAAAGCAGCGTTCTTATCCTCATGGATGGCTGCGTCAGCTCAAAACAACCCTTACAAGGGCGTGGCTTATTTGGGCGGCCCCTTCACGGGCACATTGCGAGCCGGTGCACCCCAGGACCTGCTTCCTGTGCCTGGGGCTCCTCAGCGTCAGGGGGAAGCAGGTGTGACCCCCAGGCCCCAGGCTCCCCTCCTTCCGGTCTCTTCTTTTGAAGAGCCCAGAGCCACTCAGCGCCCCAGAGGCCTCAGCTCTCTGGATAAGTGGTGGGTGCCGGGTGGGAGCCCTGGCCTCACGCACACTCTGGCACTGCCTGGCCTCCTGGGACGGTTCCTCAGAGGCGCCTGCTCTGGACGCTCTGATGTCGGGAGTCCCACGGATGCTGCCAGGATGGGAGCGGAGGCTGTTGTCTGTCCAACAAGTGCTGGGTCGTCTGGAGCAACAAGAGCCAATGGGTGTCCCCGGGGTCTCCGCAAAGCCACCTGCCGTCTCTTGGTGGGTGCATCAGTCAGTACTCGTGCTGCTGATAAAGACACACCCGAGACTGGGCAATTTATGAAAAAGAGGTTGAATGGATTCGGTTCCGCGTGGCTGGGGAGGCCCCGCAGTCATGGCGGAAAGCAAAGGCACCTCTTACATGGCAGGAGCAGGAGAGAATGAGAATCAAGCGAATGGGGAAACCCCTCATAAAACATTTACATCGGATCCCCGAGTGCTTCACCACCACGAGAACAGTATGGGGGAGACCACCTCATGATTCCGTCACCTCCCCGTGGGCCCCTCCCACAAAACAGATTCAGTCACCTCCCACGGGGTCCCGCCCACCACACAGATTCAGTCACCTCCCACCAGGTCCCGCCCACAAAACAGATTCAATCACCTCCCACCAGGGCCCGCCCACCACACAGATTCAATCACCTCCCACAGGGTCCCGCCTTTAAGTATCGGATCCCTCGAGTGCTTCACCACCACGAGAATACAGGCATGGGGGAGACTACCTCATGATTCCGACACCTCCCCGTGGGCCCCTCCCACAAAACAGATTCAGCTACCTCCCACGGGTCCCGCCACCACACAGATTCAGTCACCTCCCACCAGGTCCCGCCCACAAAACAGATTCAATCACCTCCCACCAGGGCCCGCCACCACAGATTCAAATCACTCTACAGGGTCCCGCCCACTCACACAGATTCAATCACCTCTCTGTGGCTCCTCTCACAAAACAGATTCAATCACCTCCCGTAAACCCGCCCACCACACAGATTCAATTACCTCCTGGTGGGGCTCCGGCCCACCACACAGATTCAATCACCTCCCACAGGGTCCCGCCCACCACAAGGGAATTATGGGAGCCCCAATTCAAGATGAGGTTTGGGTGGGGACACAGTCGAACCATATCAGTGGGAAACGCGGAGGGGCTTCTGGCCCCTATACACTCCCACCTCCCACCTCCCACGGCCCGCGGGACCCTCCTGGCTGTTCCGGGAGGGGCTCCATTCTCCACGTTCCCTGGGGCCTCGTCGTCCTCGCCCTTCTACTTCCTCTTGGAGGGGCTGACCTTAGCCTTCCTGGGTTGACCCGAGCACAGCTGTGCCCGGAGTGTGACAGGAGCCCCCTGGCTCCCAACACTGTCTGAAGCCCTGCCGGGAAGTGTGGCTCCAGGAGGGCCGCTGGCCTCCCGGGGAGGATGTCCCCACCTGCAGGGGTTCGTCCACCACCCACAGCCACTCCCGGACCAGGGCAGACCCCACACCTCACCACGGACTGAGGAGGCCGGCCAGGCCGAACCAAGCCTCACCCTTCCCTGGGAGAAAGGCCTGGCTTGGTGTCCCCAAAGCCACACCTCCTCATTTTTCTTATACCAGAGCTGACTCACAATAAAATTACCAAAACAGAGGAATTCAAGTGGAGCAAGGAAAGGAATAGAGAAGTGAGGAAATGCATCAGCTGTCCCTAGCCATGGCGTCTTCACCCAGAGTCCCCCTTAACCCTCTCCTGCCTGGACGTACAGCAGCCACCTGCCTGGAGGGGCAGTCCGTTCTCTCCTCCCAGGGCCTCCAAGTCACCACACCCTCCACATTCCTAGAGATGGCAGCCCGGGCTGGTCTGTCTGCCCAGCACTCCCTGAGTGGACACCATCTCCAGCCACATCCCACGGCCCTTGGCAGCACTCGACCCTCAGCCCTCAGCACTGTGTGACCCCACACCCTTCCTGAGGGTATCACGGGGCCAGACTCCCACCCGAGGCAACACAGGTGAATGCCACTGTCAGAGCAGCGCCGTCCGTCACCAGAGACGTCAACTGTCACCAGCAATGTCACCTGTCATCGGAGCCTGTCATTGGGGTGTCACCAGCGATGTCCCGTCACCTGTCAGAGCAGCACTGCCTGTCACCAGAGAGGTCACTTGGTGTCAGCAATGTGACCTGTCATCAGGGCACTGCCACCTGTCAGAGCAGCGTCACCCGTCACCAGAGACGTCGCCTGGCATCAGCAATGTCATCCTGCTCCCCAGATGCCACCCTCCTCCCTGTACCCCCACCAATGCCCACATGTGCAATTCCCAGTGGGTACCCCTGGAAAACCAAGCCAGTCCTCAGAAAGAATAAAACATCTGTTTTAATTGGCCAGTAAAATACATTGCAAATCACTAGTATTTTATAAACAGAAACGTTAAGTTATAAATCCAAGGTAAAAATTGCAGCCCCAACAGCTGTGTGTCCAAAAGTCTATATTTACAACATTTTCCTCCACTAGTTTTGTGACAACAAAGTTCATATCTGCCACGGAGATTAAGAGTCTGAACTACAGCATTTTCAAACAAGAACCGGGAGAAGTCAGTACAAGGGTACGTCGTGCTGTGTATTCAAACGGCGCTTCCCACACCCCTGCTGTCTGCATCCCGGGAGGACGCCCTGTGGGAAAGGCCTCCTCGGCGGTGTGAGGTCTGGAGGGGTCTGCCTGGACCCCAATTTTAGGATGCTCCCTCCCCAGTAAAACAGCAGCCCCGCCCCTGCCCTGCACAGCATCTGGGGGTTCATGACGCAGGCGCAATACTGACCATGGGCCCCGGAGGGACATCTGCACCCCTGAAGCCCCTCTACCTCAAACTCAGAATTTCTTCCCTTCTTTGATTTTCTTGAGGACCTGCAGCTGGCCTTCCTGAGACAGCCTCCGTTCCTGTTCCATTTGCCTTCCCAGCAGCCTTCCCTTTAGTGGGTATAGGTTTTGACGTTCTGAGTTACTTTGTATCAAAGAGCTAATTAAAAATGGTCCTTAAAAAACATAAAGAAAAACAGCTTGAAAAATGCACATTTCTGTTTTAAAAATCTTCAAACTTCCACGGGGGGTGGCAGATGTTAATTCTGATATTAAACCCCATTGAACAGCAAAACAATGGGGGCTTCAACTGTGGGCTCAGCAAACACCTGGAGAAGCTGGAGCCCACACTTTTCCCTCCAAGGGACTCTGTGGACAGAACTCGTATCCCCCAAGCACCAAGGACATCCTCAGACTGGGATTTCTGTGTAGTTCTGCACCTCCCAGCCACAAAACTGACTCTTCAGCCAGGAATCAAACGAACCTCAAAAGTGAACAGGGAGGCCGCCTCCCACGCCGCCTGGACACCAGGCACAGTGGGAGAGTAATGCTCTGAACGTCCCAATGTGATGAAGCCGAAAGCCAAGACGGGGCCAGCAGGCCCCACGGGCACAGAGCCACAGAGCCCAGTGCCACACGCACCGTGCACGCAAGACAGACGTGCACGTGAGACAGACGCACACACGGATGGAGATGCAGGTCACAGCCGACTGGACGGGCCACGGCTCCCTGAGGCTGGCTGCGGCTAGAGCACAGCCCCCACTTCCTGATCCTTCAGCTGATCCCCAGAACCCCACAAACAAAGAGCCAAAAGCACAGAACCGAAGGACGACACGGTCCACCAGGCCAGGTGGGCTTTCTGTGGGGGGTGGCGGCGGTTCTGGAGAGCGAAGCCCCAGCACCACTTGTCCATGGGCCCAGCGGCTGCGTCTCATGTGCTGGCTCTGTGCTTTTCCTTCTCTTCTCCCTCCCAAAGGCTGCGGCTCTGCACGGGCAGCTCACTGGCGCCACTGGGCGCGTCCCGCAGACTTTAAATGGAATGAGTGGAGGTCTCGGACTGCTGCCGGATGTAGTTCTGGAAGCTCTTGTCTCCGATGGGGTGCTCCCTGAAAAGGGGGATGGGGGAGGGAATGAGGCACAGCCCCCACTGCCTGGCGCTCACCCATGGCTGCGGGAGCTTTTCCTGTTCCTAAATGTGACCACTCGCCTGCAATCCACACAAAACAGAATTGCAGAGGAACCAAAGGGACCACGGTGCCCCGGAGGCACCTGCGGAGCCTCTGATGTGTGCACAGGGGGGCAGGCGTGGAAGTTCACGTGCACGTCTCCCCCTGCAGCACATGTGTAGCACATATACATGCTGGAACACGCAGACTCCGTGGCACGTGCGCAGAATGTGCACATCTGCACTGCAGAGACTATGCTCACGTGTGGAGCCTCACCACTGCCCTTCCCAGACCAGACCCACATGGTGGAAGGAAGCGTTAAGAAGGAAGGGAGGGAGGGAGGAGAAGGAGAAGGGTGGAGGAGGAGAGAGGGAGGATGGAAGGGAGGGAGGACAGAAGAGAGGAGCGAGCAGGAGGGTAGAAGTGAGGAGGAGGTTGTACAGCTACACAGGGCTCTCGGGCTTACCCATCCCTGAACAAGCCTGTGTGGTGGGTTCTGCCATGGTGGACCCTGGGTACCCACTGGATGGAGAGAGTGACACAGACACACCTGCTCACTCCAGGCCGAGAGCCAGTCCAGCACTTTACATAGTTTAAGTCAATCTTCCAGCAATTCAGGAGGGTCTTACAACCCTCTGTCCCATGGAGTGAGGGGAAGTGGAGCTTAGCTAAGCACCATGTGGCCTGCAGCCTGTGACTAGGCTGAACGTACTCAACTCGCCACACCTGCCTCACGAGACAAGAGTGGGTTTTGTCCAGAGCTGACCCTACTCCTGGACACCATGGGTGGCCTGGAGAGATGGCAGAGGGTGTGCCACTCAACCAAGGCAGAACAAGGCCTGGGCCTAGAGACTGCCAGAGCACGTGAGGCCAGCATAGCAGAAAGGCTGGGAGGCAGCAGGCGAGGGAGGCACCCCGGACATTGGCTGGGGTCCTGGAGAGCAAAGGCAGCACCTGCTCGGAAGGAGGGACCAGCAGTGCTGGGCCACATCCACGGACCACCGCCAGATGCCAGCCAGGTGCAACTGGGGTTCTCCTCATGAGGTGGACACCTGTGCAAAGGCGGCCTCAGCCGGGAGTTCCCTGCAGCCCCACCCCCACCCTGTGCACAGGCGGCCTCAGCCGGGAGTTCCCTGCAGCCCCACCCCCACTGACCCTCCCGCCCACCACGCTGGCCGTCCAGGGCAGGCACGGGAGCGGCACTCACTGGCTTCCATATTTCGTCTTCTTGAACTTGTCCCTCTTATACTGGGCGTGCTCCTGCTCCAAAGCCCCGACACCAGCGATGACCTGCTTCAGTGTCTTGTAAGTCTCCTGGGGGTCGTCAATGACGAATGTCGAATACTCCTCCTGCTCCGGGCCATCGTACACGGATTTGCTCCCACAGGCCTCTGTGGAGGACGGAGGAGGGGTCAGCGCAGGGCAGGAGCCCAGGGTCCAGCGGCCACTGGCCCCGTCTCCACACAGCTGCATCACTGCAGGCCCCACCCACAGCACACGTCCTTCCAACGCAAGCTCCTCCAGAAAGGGCTGGCCGCCACTCGTAAACGCAGACGGACACAGAAACCATTCCCGCGGGCAGGCCACCTTCCTAACCGGACCACATCACTCCCGCTGAAGGCCATTCTGGGGCCTCGTCCCCAGCGGACAGCCGTGGAACCCCTGAGCTGGGGCAGGGCCCTGTGCCACCTGAGTCCGAACACCTGAACCAGGTATGTCTCTGCCTCACTGCTCACAGCGCCTGGGCACGCACCCCCAGAGCCAGCACCAAGGCCCTGCAGCTGTGCCCACCTCGATGGAGTGAATGTACCCCCAGATCCATGGGTTGAAATCCTAACCCTCAAGGGATGGCGTCTGGAGGTGAGGCCTTTGGGAGGGGACGAGGCGTGACGGTGGAACCCTTGGGCAGGGGATGGGCGCCCCTATAAAAGACATCGAGGAAGCTGGCTGGCCCCTTCCACACGTGAGGACACGATGAGACGCTGGTGGGCTGTAGCCCAGAAGAGGGTCTGCAGCGAAACCAGCGTCACTACGCCCTGATCTTGAGTTTCTCAGCCTTCATGCTGGGAGGTGAATTCCTGCTGTCTGTAACCACCCAGCCTATGGTACCATTTTATTGCAGCCCAAACTGACTAAGAACTTGGGACTGAGAAGTGGCTGCTGCTGTAACAAGTACCTTCAAACGTGGACAGGCTTTGGAACCGGGTGCTGGGCGAAGGTTGCAGGGGTTTGGGGGTGCGTGCTGGAAGCCACTTGGCTGGGGTGAATGCCCTTGAAGGGCAAAGCTGGGGGCTCGGGAGAGGAGAAGAGCTGCAGAGAAGGCCTGTCTTAGGGTATGTCTACGTAACCCTGAACAGAATGGTGGTACGAGCATGGGTGGCAAAGGCTGTTCTAACAACCTCTCAGATAGAAAGGACGGCCGTGCTACTGGACAGCGGAGAAAAGGCCATCCTCATGACAAAGTGGACCTGTTTTCACGCCCTCGTGTTCTGGGAGGGTGGAACTTGAGAGTGATGACATCAGACACGTAACTGAGGAGATTTCTAAGCAAAATGCTGGGGGAGCAGCTTGGGTCCTCCTGCTCGCTGACAGCAAAATGGGGGAAGAGAGATGATTTGAAGGTAGAATTGTTGAGCAAAAAGGAACCAGAACTCAAAGAGTTGGTTGAGTTAAAGGATATGAGAATTAAAATTCCAGCCTCCTCATATCTCAAAAAAAATGAGATTGTGTTTGGAACAGACCACTAAGCAAGTGGCCGTGTGGCCGTCTGATAAGGAGACAAGTGTGGGGCTGAGCCATGGACTTGACGAACCATCTCAGCCACAGCTGGGAGCAGAGAAGGAACCGTGCCAGCCGGGCACTGCCAGATGGAACCAGGAGACAGAGAAAACAGGATGAAATGAAAGCAGACTGCGGTGTCTTAAGCCCTACAAGCGAGGCCATAGAGCTATTCAGCCATGAACACATGCCATTCTTCAAGACGAGGGAAGAAGGACCCTGAAGGGGCAGGGCCATCAGAGTGCTGCTCTCACCCAGAAGGAGTCCATGGACCATGTATCAGACACAAAATTCTCAGCTGGAATATTGATTAAAAAATAAAACTGGCAATAACTAGAAAAAAATCACAATAAGGAATCTGTAGTTCCTTTTTGTGTGATAAGGTTTAAAACAGAGGGTTTAGGGAAAGCTCAGAGCAGCATGTGTGTGCGTGGACTTCAGCAAAGCACCTGCTACATTTTTACGAATGGCCGCATGATCAAGATGTGAAGTTGTGGAGAAGAAAATGGATCAGCGGGTGGGTCTGTGCCGACTGAGTGTCCAAAATGGATCAGCGGGTGGGTCTGTGCCGACTGAGCGTCCAAAATGGATCAGCGGGTGGGTTTGTGCTGACTGAGCGTCCAAAATGGATCAGCGGGTGGGTCTGTGCTGACTGAGCATCCATGGCCCCCCAAGGACAGATCCAAGTGCTTGTCCAAGCATGAGCCGGGCCCGGGAAGACATGGTGTCCACACAGCTGGGACACCAAGCCACGGGGAGGACGGCCTGAGGCACAACCACTACAGCAGACCCCACTGCTAGACGCAGCCCCAGGCTCCCTCAGACACAGGACGACAGCACTAAGCTGCATTCTGAAGTTAATTATGAGGCCGTGGCCTGTGAAGACTGGCCCTTTATCTGACCAAAGCATAACAAGGTGTCAGTGAAAAGGGCATTTACGTAACAGCTGCGATGAGCCACTGTGCTCCAGGCTGTGTGTAAGCCACTCCAATCTTCCCCAAATCCCTAACCAAGGGGATATGCCTGTCCTGCAGATGAAGAAACAAGTGGCTTGTCCCAGGACACAACTTGATCACAGCGACCTGCTGGCCCCCACAGCAGAGCTCTTCCCACTCCTGCCACTGACTTCCAGACCGTCTGCAAAATCACAGTGGCATGGCCCAAGGCCAAGGCCAGCCCTCTGCACGGAACCCCACCACACCCTGCCATGGAGCCTCACCTGCAGGACTGGGTGCCACTCTGTCCCCGAACTTCAGGACAACATAAAGAACTAGAGTGTGCCCGAGGGAGGTTGGCCAGGGGAGAGGCCACACCACGTGTGGGATGGGGAGGGGACAGTGACCATCTGCCTCCCGCACAGGCGCCCTGGTACAGCACTCCTCAGCCCCACAGGCCAGCAGAACGGACCTGCTACACTGGGTGGAAAGAATCCCGTGGGCCAAGTGACGGGAAGTCATTAGAACTCTCCAGCAACAAAACCATCTGCCTCAAGGATGCACTGAGATTCCAGTCGAGGCTTGAACACCACAGAGGAGGGACTCAGTGCCCTGAGGGGTGAGGTCCCTGGACTGAGGCTTCCAACCATGCTGATGTGCTGTGAACCCTCATGGAGGGTATGTGGGACCTGTCTCCATCTGTCCATTGTCCATCCACCAATCCCTCACCCATCTGTCAATCCACCCATCTCTCACCCATCTGTCAATCCACCCATCACTTATCCATCCGTCCATCCACCCATCTGTCCATCTACCCATTACTCACCCATCATCACTCACCCATCCATCCATCCACCCATCACTCACCCCTCGGTCCATCCATCCATCACTCACCCATCCATCCATCCACCCATCCTCCCTACCGGTCCATCCATCCAACACTCACGCATCCGTCCATCCACCCATCACCCACCCATCCGTCCATCACCATCCTGTCCATCCACCCATCACTCACACTCCTCAGTCCATCCACCCATCCTCCTCCTCAGTCCATCCACCCATCACTCACCCCTCAGTCCACCCATCCATCACTCACCCCTCGGTCCATCCACCCATCTGTCCATCCACCCATCACTCACCCATCCGTCCCTCCACCCATTACTCACCCATCTGTCCATCCACCCATTACTCACCCATCTGTCCATCCACCCATCACCCACCCCTTGGTCCATCCATCCATCACTCACCCATTTGTCCATCCACCCATCACTCAACCATCTGTTAATCCACCCATCATTTTGGCTCCATTGCTCCCTCCACCCACATCAGTCACCCATTGAGTCCCATCCACCCATCACTCACCATTAGCGTCCCATCCACCCACCTACCCACCCACTCCCAGCTGCATGCGTGTCTTGTCGGCATTAAGTTGCTGGGCCTTCATCTTGTGCTTGGGCCAGGAGGATTAACCGTGACCAGGCTGAGGGAGATGGGAGATGGTTGTGACTTTAATTGACACCAGATGATCCCAGGTGACGTGGTTTTGGATTTGTGTCCCCACCCAAATCTCCCAGGTCAGACTGGAAGCCGAGTGTTGGAGGAGGGGCCTCAAGGGGAGGTGGGGGGATCACTTGGGGGTGGACATCCCCATTGCTGTTCTTGTAACAGTGAGTTCTCTGGTCTGGTTGTCTGGACATGTGTGGCTGCCCCACATCATGTAGAAATTTGCCCTCCTTCCTTCCTCTTTGCCCTCCCACCATGATTGAAAGTTTCTTGAGGCCTCCCCAACCATGCTTCCCGTACAGCCTGCAGAACTGTGAGTCAATCCAATCTTCTTTCCTTATAAATTACCCAGGTTCAGGTAGCTCTTCATAGCAACGTGAGAACTAACACACCAGGCTACGGGGATGGGGAGGCTGGGAAGCGCCTGGGGAGAACCTTCCCAGAGTCAAGCAGGGTCTGCCAGACTGAATGCAGGCTGCTCCCGCAGAGGAAGGAAGAGCTGGAGCTGTGGTGCGGGGGTGCATGGCCTGGGAGAGGCTGAGCAAGGTTGGAGAGCGGTGCATGCAGCAAGCTGATCACGGAGGGCCTGGTCAGCGTCTTTCAGAACCTGGGTTTTGTGTGTGATGACCTCACCCTCTCCAAGGCTCCTCGACTCTGGCCTCCGCTGTGTTTGTTCCTGCTATGAGAGGGCTGGGAAAGAAACCCATCCATCCATCCACCCATCACTCACCCCTCGGTCCATCCATCCAACACTCACGCATCCGTCCATCCACCCATCACCCACCCATCCGTCCATCCACCCATCTGTCCATCCACCCATCACTCACTCCTCAGTCCATCCACCCATCACTCACGCTACGTATTGCTACTCTGCTTCCAGTGTCTTGTAAGTCTCCTGGGGGTCACACGAGAATGTCGAATACTCCTCCTGCTCCGGGCCATCGTGCACACGGATTTGTTCTCACAGGCCTCTGTGGGAGGACGGAGGAGGCCGGGCGCAGGGCAGGAGCCTCAGGGTCCATGCGGCTACTGGCCCCGTCTCTACACAGCTGCATCACTGCAGGCCCCACCACAGCACACGCCCTTCCAACGCAAGCTCCTCCAGAAAGGGCTGGCCGCCACTCGTAAACGCAGACGGACACAGAAACCATTCCCGCGGGCAGGCCACCTTCCTA